CCTTTGCTTCTTGCTGCCACCTCCCTCTTTCTTTGCCTTATATTTCTCGGGCTTGTTTATTCCCTTTGCCTGTGACCCCCAGCTGGTTGCGGCCAGGTGATCCATTGATTTGGTTTGCAGACATGATTTGGAGCGCCATCAAGTCAAACCGTGGCCGCCTGACATCCTTGGCAAAACCATATCTCTCCTTGCGAACCAAGAGCTCTGCCTAAATAGTAACGTAGCAGAACTCTGTAGGAGCAAGAAACGGCAGTCGCGGAAAAGCACGGATCGGTTGATTTGGCTTGTCAGCGTTTGCAAGCGCCCTCACAAAATCATTTTTTAAAAAAAACAGGAAAGATTCTTGAGAAGGAACATGAAAAAGGAGATAATTTACCATCAGCCATAATCGTAGGACATTTCATATTTGAGGGAAATAATTGGCGGTCTGGAGTTGAAGCCTGCAATCCTATACCCACTTAACCAGGGAGTACACCCCACTGAACTCAGTGTGACTCCTTTATAAAGCTGCGCTGTAAGTGATCCGTTATGTTAGGCCCTATTTTAAATTTCCATCGTTAGTTGCCTGGACAGGAATCAGCACCCAACAATCCCGCTGGTTTCAAATATACTTTATTTAGTAGTTATCACAGTTTTATAAGCGTGATAATTTTAATAAATGAGATTTATGAAGTTCAGCATTTTAAAATATCCTTTAAAAAGGAACAGGGGAAAAAAGGCAACCTGTTTTAACCGTATCTCCCATAATGGGAAATCTGAGTGATTAAGGAAGCAAATATTATAGCAAAAATGTGTGTCCTCAAGGGTTTGGGGTTTTTTTTAAGGCTTCATTCATGAAATTTGACCTTTTAGCTGTAAAACTGCATTTTAGACAGACGTCTGCAGTTGTATGCAGTAAAATTTGACTAATGTTTGGCATGAGAGATATCTTTAATTCTAGGGTAGTGTATGTTTATGAGGAAAAAGATACAGGAAAAAGCTACAGTAAAGAATTTCAGACATTGTTGACATACTAAATTGACTTCAGATCTTTTCTTTTTCTGAAAATATTTGGGTTTTTTTTTTTTTAAATACTCATGTCCTTACTGCCTCTCATGATTTGATTTACAGTCCAGTGGAAAGTTAAAAGATATCAGGTAGAAGGCCAAGATCTAGTATATTTTCTAGTATATTTTCTTGCTTGAAGCAGAGCCCAGTTAACGCCCCTTCCTATTCTTGGAGCCAAATTGGGGAATAGGTGAACCCCCGGAATTGTAAAAAGCTCCCATCATCCCCAGCCATCTTATCCAGTGGTGAAGGATGCTAGGAGTTAGAGTTATGAGAAGTATTATCACAGGTGTTCATCCCAGCTTTAAAGAATTTGCTGAATCATTCTGACATCAAACTGGAGCTAAAAGATGGTGCTTTCAATATAAGTAAAAGGAACTGTTTCTTTACATGGTGTTGTTACGTATCGTGTAGTCGCCTCTGGCTTATGGCAACCCTATGAATGAGCAATTCCAAAAGGACCTTCTCTTCCTCAGCGCCCTGCTCAGCAGTTTCAAACTCAAGCCTGTGGTTTCCTTTACAAAACATGTAGTTCAGCTGCGGAATCCCCTGCCACAAGATGCAGTAATGGCTGCCGGCCTACATGTCTTTAGAAGGAGCTTGGATAATTTCTTGAAGAATAGAGAAGTCAGTGGCTACTAGTCAGTGTGTCAGTATATCACACCCAGTGTCAAGGGTAGCATATATTCCTGGTGAACATATAATTGAAGATGCATTTGCACTTTTGTCTTATTAGTGGGTTTTTCCACTAACATTGAACTAGTTAGGCCTTTGGTCTGATCCAAAATGTTTTCTGTTCAGTTTCTCCCTTCCCTTATCCTGGTTTAGTGCCTATCAAATGAGACCACAGTGAGCTAGATCAATGGTTCCCAACCTTGGGTCCCCAGATGTTCTTGGACTACAACTCCCAGAAGTCTTCACCATTCGCTAGGCTGGCCAAGATTTCTGGGAGCTGTAGTCCAAGAACATCTGTGGACCCAAGGTTGGGAACCGTTGGACTAGACGTTCTAACCTGGATTAAAGATTGCCCAATAGGTAGATTCCGTGGCTTTGCTTTCAGA